ATAGATACACATACATATTTCACCAGAGAAATAAGAACCACCACCTAGATTTCTTATAGGTAACGCCTTAAGAATTCTTGAATTACTTACAATATCGTAAATGTCTCGGCTGTCCTCATCAGCTAGTGTCAACAATGATATGAGTGGATACCGAGATCTGGGCACCGTACCAAAGTCTTCGATCCTGGTATCGCTTGGTAACTGGCAATATATTTCTTCTCTGCTGTCTTTTTTAATACTTTTTTTTTAATGTAAGGGTAAATTGTCACTATTGTCTATGAAACAATAATATGCCAAAATGATCAATAAAAACTAAGCATCCCTTTATTTTATTCTAAAGCCCCATATTTTCATGTGCTAATGGGTAGATCCGAGAAAAGGATACAAATACTGCTCTTGATGGAGGTATTCACTATACAGAACTTCTTCTAGAGCTCGGGGAGTACTTATTCTGAAGCAGTAAACGTGCTTCTGCAGAGCTTCATATAACTTTTGAACACTACACCCCCAGTAGCATGTAAGGAGGCTGTCTTCAAGGCAATCTGTTGTCAAGGTTATGCCAGCTGTAGAAAACAAGAGAGAAAATTACCGAATGTAACTTCTAATACAATTATACACAGTAAATAGCAGAAGCTTCCTATTGGATGCTGGCCAGACTGACAGCAGCTCAAGAAACTCATTAAAGGGCATGTGCCTATAAATGAAGGAACTGGCCTCTACCAACAAAAATAAAAATCTCAGAGTCAGTATAATTTTTTAGCCTTTTCAGTAAACTTACTTTTAGAGGATTATTTATACATATCAATGATGGATCTTCTCCTCCAGCCCTCTCCAAGATCTATTGCAAGAGTTTTCCCATATAGTATAAAAATTAAAATATTGTTCACTAATGCTAATCTCCAGGTCAGTGGTTCAAACCCACCAGCTGCTCTTCAAAAACCCAGTATGGGTTCACTCTGAGTCGGGATCAACTCAACAGCACTTAAACCACAGCAGTACTAAGGAGTCCTGGTAGCATAGTGGGTTAGGTACTGAGCTGCAAGATCAGCAGTTCAAGTCTACCAGCTGCTGCTTTGCAAGAGAAACAGGAGGCTTTTTGTTCCTGTAAAGATGTACAGTCTCTGCAATCCTACATAGCATCGTTGAGTCGGAACTGACTCCATGGCACACCACCACCATTGCTAATCGACCACTCTAACACTGTATATAATCCTAACTACAACCTGTATGCTGAGCAAATAAACCAAGAAGCTGGCTTATATGAAGAAAAACGTGGCATCAGGATTGGAGGAAAACTCATTAACAACCTGAGATATACAGATGACACAACCTTGCTTGCTGAAAGTGAAGAGGACTTAAAACAAACAAAACTCCTCACCACTGGACCAATAAACAACGGAGAAAAGACTTAAGTTGTCAAGGGCTTCATTCTTCTTGGATCAACTATCAGCACTGACGGAAGCAGCAGTCAAGAAATCAAACAACGTATTGCATTAGGCAAATCTGCTGCACAAGACCTTTTGAAAGTGTTGAAGAGCAAAGATGTCAGCTTGAGGACTAAGGTGTGCCTGACCCAAGCCATGATATTTTCAGTAACCTCATATGTATACAAAAGCTGGACAGTGAATAAGGAAGACCGTAGAAGAATTGATGCTTTTGAGTTATGGTGTTGGAGGAGAATATTAAAAGTGCCATGGGCTGCCAAAAGAACCAATGGATCCATTTTGGAAGAAGTGCAGCCAAAGTGCTCGTTGGAGGCCAAGATGGCCAAACTTCGTCTCTCATATTTCAGACATATTGTTAGGAAGGACCAGTTGCTGGAGAAAGATATCATGTTTGATAAGATGGAGGATCAGAGAAAAAAAAAACAAGACGCCCAACAAGATGGATTGGCCAAGTGGCAGCATCGATGAACTCAAGTGTGGCAACAGTAGTGAGGATGGCCCAGGATTGGGCATTGTTTCGTTCTGCTGTGCATAAGGTCGCTATGGGTCGGTACCGACTTGATGGCACCTAACAACAAACAACAAACAAGAACTTGACGGCACTTAACAACAACAACAAGAAACAGTACAGCAGTGTAGAGCTGTCTCCAACAATAGATATATACAACTCCCCAAATCCACAAGATGATCACTAATGTGTAAAAAAAAATGTTTTTTAATTGAGCTTGTGGCACTATAGTATATGCACTAGATTATAACCACAAGGTTCAAAGCCACTCCTTGAAAAACCTATACGGGATCTCTGAGTCAGAACCTGCTTGAGGGCATTCAACAACAGTATTAACATGGAGATCCTGGTGGCTCTGTAGGATAAGCACTGTCACATGGGGATCGCGGTAGCTCTGTAGAAGAAGCACTGGACTGTGAGCCACAAGGTCAGCAATTTGAGTACACCAGTCACTCTCTGTAGGAGAAGATGAGGCTTTCTGCTCCCACAAGGATTTATAGCCTCAGAAACATGATACAGGGTGAAAGCTAACTCAAAGGCACTTAACAACAATGTTAACACACACACAGTGTTAAAATAGACTTCTGTTACACATTTAATGTACCATGTGATACACAAAATTTCCTGAGGGAAGAATGAAAATTACAACCCATGAGGGGTTTACTAGTGATGTCCTTGCTCACTTGTTTGCTTTCAGCATAATACAAGATACACTACTTTGAGGAGACCTGGGTACGTGGATACATAAATTACAAGTAGGCATGTTGTTGTTGTATGCTGTCAGCTTGATTCCAACTCATAACAATACAGAGTTGAACTGGTCCCTAGGGTTCTGTGCCCTTATATTTACAGGCACAGATCCTCAAGCCTTTCTCCCATTAGAGCAGCTGATGGGTTCAAACTGCCAACCTTTTGATTATCTACTTGCTTAGCTACTAAGCTGCAAGGGCTCCTTTAAGTAGGCATATAAATTACATAGTTTTAGTTATTTAACACTGATAGGTTGCTGGGGTTTTTTTAGTGCCATCAAGTCAGTTCCAACTCCTCTTGACCCTATGCAACACAGAACAAAACACTGCTATAGAACTCTAGAACTAGCTGCTCGATATTTCTGTCATATGGCATTTCAAACTCTAGATGTCTGAACTTCATTAAAATTGGTCAAACTGAATTTATCTTTCTTCCAAAACCTCTGTTCTTCCTCCTGTGTTCTTTATCTTGGTTGAGAAAAAAAGTCTATCCATTGAGGACCTAGATTCTTCTTTTTCACCTGTCCTAACCCTACATTTTATAATAAACTTCCTGTTTTTCTCTAATACATTATTCTGTTCCTCAGTATTTCAATTCTTGGTTCATGCTTGCCACACTCTACCTAGAATTTCCCCTGAAGAGGTAAACATCTACTTATCGCTCAAACACAGAGTTAACTCTCCATACTCTTCTTTTAGGGAACTTTCCTGACTACACCTCCCACTTCTGCGTATCTGACCTATCTCATTCTTTATGATGCATTCTATTCTGTATCTACTGATGGCTCAGTATATAACCTAATTTTCCAAGTTAAGAACAAAAACAACCAACTACCATCTATCATTACCATCAACAAAGAAAGCACATTTTATATCAAAATATGCCAAAATACAAAAATTTTGGGTGAGGAGACAGTTGTTCTTCAGGGTAATAACATTAACAGCACTGAGACTTATTACATTCTCCTCATATTTCTCAATTAATTGAAGACCAATTAAAATGGCACTGTATCCTAACAAACGGAACAAGTATCCTAACAAACTTCTCATAATTACATCTGTGATACTTTACTCTTTCCATTTTTAGACACATCTATCTGTGCAATGTTTGTGAATTATTAGGCTTTGTATCTCCAGTTTGCAATCCAATGACTGGAAGAAACAATAAATGCTCAGTAAATGTTTGCTTACAGTCCAAGAAAAAAACAAGACAAAGGTGCTGACTCTCACCATATCTATTTAATATTGTATTAGAAGTCCTAGACAGAGCAATAACACAAGAAAAATAAATTATAGGCATCAAGATTGGAAGAGATGTCTAATTTTATCTCTTATTTATGGATGCAAAGATCCTATGTATAAGACACTGACAGACCATGTATTTCTCAGTTTGTTATACAGTGTTGGCTCATGTGTTCCTGTGATACTGAAAGCTATGCCACCTCTATTTTAAATACCAGCAGGGTCACCCAAGGTAGACAGCTTTCAGCAGAGGTTCTGACTAAGACAGACTAGACTAGGAAGGATGAGAGGCAGGCCACTTCTGAATCATTAGCCACTGAAAAACTTACAAATAGAAGTGAAAAGACAGTTGTTCTTCAAGGTAGTGACACTGACAGCACTTGTGTGATTTAGTGCCAGAAGATGAGCCTCTCAGGTTGAAAAGCACTCAAAAAGTGACTGGGGAAAAGCTGCCTCCTCAAAGTACAGTTAACATTAATGACATGAATGGACCAAAGTTTTCGAGACCTTCATTCTGGTATATGAAATATATGAAGCATGAATCTAGGAAAATTAGAAGTCATCAAACGAAATGGAACACATAAATATCAATATTCTAGACATTAATGAGCTGAAATGGATTGCTATTGGCCATTCTGAATCAGACAACTATATAGTTCACTATTTTGGGAAAGACAAATTGAAGAGGAATGGTGTCACATTCATTGTCAAAAAGAGCATTTCAAGATCTATCTTGAATTACAATGCTGTCTCTGATAGGATAATATCCATATGCCTACAAGGTAGACCAGTTAATACCACTATTATTCAAATTCACACACCAACCCTAAAGGCAATGATGATGAAACTGAAGAATTCTACCAACTTCTAAAGTCTGAAATTAATCAAATATGCAAACAAGATGTGTTGATATCTGGTGACTGGAATGCAAAAGTTAGAAACAAAGAGGAAGGGTGGTTGTTGTTATGTGCCGTGAAGTCGGTTCTGACTCATAGTGACCCTGTACAGGGTTTCTGAGGCTGTAAATCTTCACAGGAGCAGAAAGCCTCATCTTTCTCCCGCGGAACAGCTGGTAGTTTCGAACTGCCGACTGTGAGATTAGCAGCCTTGGAAAAATAGCTTTGGTGATAGAAACATGCTGGAGATCACATGACAGAATTCTATAATATCAACAACTTGTTCATTGCAAATATCTTTAACAACATAAAAAGCAACTACACACGTGGACCTCACCATATGGAATACACAGATTCAAACTGACTACATCTGTGAAAAGAAACAATGGAGAATTGCTAAATGAAAAGACCATCAACAAAGGAAAAGGCAATCAATTGCTCATATGAAAGTTCAGGTTGAATTGAAGAAAATTAAAACAAGTAAAAGAGAGCCAAAATATGACCTTGAATATATCCCACCTGGATTTAAAGATCATCGCAAGAACAGATGTGATACATTAGACATTAATAAATGAAAACCACAAGAGTTGTGGGATGGCATCAGGAACATTATACATCATACATGAAGAAGGCAAAAACACAAGAAAGAAAAGACCAAAATGGATGTTAGAAGAGACTTTGAAACTTGCTCTTGAGCATAGAGAAGATAAAATGACTAGAAGAAATGAAAAAGTAAGAGCTGATTAGGAAAACCTGCTGCAAAAGACCTCTTTAAAAAGTGTTACAGAACAAAGATGAGGACTAAGTTGTGCCTGATACAAGATATGGTATTTCCAATCACCTCTTACTCATGCAAAAGTTGAACAGTGAATAAGGATGACTAGAAAAATCGATGCATTTGAAGAATATTCAAGGTACCATGGACTGTCAGAAAAACAAACAAGTTTGTCTTGGAAGAAGTACTGCCAGAATACTCTTTAGCAGCTCCTTCAACTCTCATACCTTGGACTTTTCAAGGGATCAGTCCCTACAGAAGGACATCAATGCTTGGAAAAGTGGAACACCCCCAACAAGATGGACTGACCCAGTGACAACAACAGTGCACTCACACATAACAATTGTGAGGATGGTGCAAGACTGGGCAGTGTTTCATTGCATGGTGCACAAGGTCTCTATGAGCTGGAACCAACTCAACAGCACCTAATAACAACAACATATATAGAAAATCCCAAAGAGCCCACAAGAAAAATTCCAGAGCTAACAGGAACTTAGCAAAGTTGCAATGTACAAGGCCATCTAACAAAAATTAGTTGGGTTTCTATACAACAACAAAAAGAAATCTGGAAGAGAAATTAGTATAATAATTCCATTTGTAATAGCATCTAAGAGAATAAAATGGAGTCCTGGTGTGGCGCTATAGGGTAAGCACTGAACTGCTTACCACAAGGTCAGTGGTTCAAACCCACCAACAGCTCTTGTGAAAACTGGTTCAAGGTCACTATGATCAAGAACCGACATAACAACAACAAAGAAAATATCTAGGAATAGATCTAATCAAGGTTATGAAGGACATAAATGATAGAAACTATAAAGCATTGCTGAAGGAGATGAAAGAAAAATAGAAAGATGGTCTATGTTCATGGATTGGAAGACTTAAAAATATGTCAGCCTTGAGCATTATGTTCTTCCTGGTATGGTGCTGTCAGATAATGCACTGAACCTCAAGGTCAATTTGAACCACAAGGTTGGTGACTCGAACTCACCCCCTCAATAGCACTTAACAATAACAATATATACATGTGGTACTGTGAATTTATTTGATATGGCTTTCCTAAAGTCTCCTTGACTCCCACCAAATAATTGGGTTGTTGTTGTTGCTAAGTGCCGTCGAGTCAGTTCCAACTCAAAGCGTCCCTGTACAGGGTTTTCAAGGAGCATCTGGTGAGTTTCAACCACCGACCGTGCAATTCAAACAGACCTTACAGTCCAGCCCATTAATCCGCAGTACCACACCAGGGCTTCAATGATTAATTTAAGTGTTAAGTGCAGTCAGTCAAGTTGGTTCTGACCCATAGCAACCCTATATAGGGTTTCCAAGGATTGGCTAGTGAGCTTGAACCGCTGACCTTGTGGTTCAAACCGATTTTGCAGCCCAGCACATTAACCCACAGCACCACACCTGGACTGGGCAGGACCATGCAAATAGAGTGTACAAGACTCTGTAACACTGAGATTAGTTTTGTCATCCCACTAAATTAAAAAGGAGCCACCACAGAAGCAGGAAGATGATTACAGGACTATTAGGAAGAAAAGCCACGAGTGGAGCGCCAGGTCTCTCCTTGGAAAAGCAGCAACAGCAGAGATGGCAGGGTGGAGAGAGACAGCTACTGTGGGCTTCCTGGCCCATGGACCAAGTAAAGCTGAGGATCTAGAGGCAACAGAATGGCATGCAGAATATGCCCTTTGGCATTTATAGACTGACTAAAGAAAATTGGTAACACTTGACTGAGCAAGGCAGAGGTTGAGGCTAAGGGGCCACGTGCCTGAGAAGCCAAAGATAAGAGCAAGGTTTGGCTGCAGTACAACAGAGACGAGGCATTCCTGATTGGAGAACTGCTGCCTCCTGAATGGTTTCTGATCCTGAACTGTATTGTTCACTTCCTTAATAAATCCCACAATCATGAGAATTGTTCCAGAGTTTTGTATGGCTCCTGCAACAGATTATCAAATCCAGCAGAGAAGTAATGAGGCTGTGGGCGGGACGGTAGGTGTCAGAATAGGGTAATGAAGAATGTAGGGTGGAGGCATGTCTGACCTCCACCGCAAAGGAATCGGCCTTGGGTTGATTGTGAGTTTGACTCTCCTTCCCCCTTATGAAGCCAGAAGAAATCAGACATGCCCTTGACACCATTTTTGCAATATGGGATAAAATTAATAATAGTTAACTCAAAGATTAGACAGGGACCTTAGGCAGTGGTGAATTTATGTTGATGGACAAGGAACACGTCAGACAAGGAGAATGAGAATGGGTGCACAACTTGAATCAGTGTCGCTAAATGGTACATGTAGAAAATACTGAATTGGTGTGTTTTTGCTGCCTATATTGTCAACAATAAAACTTAAAACTTAAAAAAATAAAGAGACAGACAAAGAAAGTAAGAAGGCTGAGAAAGGGCATACAATGACAGTAAAATCTTTGGAAAATAATTAGCCACTAACTTGTGATTGAAGCTGAAGATGGGTTGGTGATCTCTAAGCCGAAAGGATTTTTGACTTGTCTCATTTGCTTTTTGAAAACTCTTGTGCTGAACTGGGTCTCTTCTGAATTTCTTAGTATTACTGGAAAATCCCAACCAAACCTGAAGACAGGTAAAAATAAAATATAATTCAAACAAATGTTACAACTGTGTGTTATACTCATTAACTATTCCTTTGACTATGTTTCACAAAAAGATGACAAATTACCCTCTATAATTATATTCCACAATTAATAAAGGAAGGGTAGATGGTCCAAAGAATTGCAATATATTGTTCAGCTGGTTTTTAAACACAATCTTGAAAACAAAGAGTTTTATTATTAATATTATTGTTACTGACAAAGGAATACAATGATTATCAATAAATTATACTTGATGTCAATAAAAACATCTAACTATGAATTAAGATTTTATGAAAAACTATATATTTAATATACAGACTATTTTATATCATTTATGAGATAAACTAAAAACACATAGTACTTCATTTTTATATTACATTTTCTACTTCTAAATTTCATGCAAAAATATAATCTCTGACATGTATACTGAACAGATTTTAAAGGAGAATAAATGAGACTAAACGCAATTCCTGGTAAAATTAAACAGCAGCTATATTTACTCAATTTAAATATAAAAACCGTACCCCCAAAAAAAATACATGCCCAGTTAAACCAGGGGATTTCAGGTAAAGATAGCACAGGTTACATTCATATTTTGATGCACCACTTTCTCTCCAAGCACATAGCAATGACAGATAATATATATATATATACAATGAAATGCACAAACTGTGATGTATTTGTACAAAATAGTAATATTCAACAACAAAAAGGAACATACAACTGATCCAACTGCATGCATGGACCTCAAAAACACCATGCTGTGCAAAACAGGTCTGATTTCACATCTATGAAATTCTAGAGTAAGCAATTATTCTACGGGAATAGTTGGGAAAGGGCGCACAGGAGCTTTCAGCTGTGGCAGCAGTGATCTGGACCCTGATAGAGGTTTGAGCTGTATAGGTTTGTACAGATTTATTATTAACACACAACTTAAGGCACATTCAAGAAGCGTTCATCTCACGGTATCTCAAAAAGAATGAAGGAAAACTATAAACAAATACTGACTTTCAATTATAAGCAATGCTGAGACACTAAGGTAAATTCGGTATACAACTTATTTTTAAGCATATGAAAACATAAAACGGACAGAAGGATGGGTGAACAGACACATACGCAATCGAGAAATTATAGGAAATAGGAAATATCAGTCGTAGAACCTAAATAATGAACACAGTAATATTTACTGTATTCTTTCAAATTTTCTGTGTCTGAAATTTTTCCTAATAAACTATTAGAAAAGAGATACAGCTAAGTTCAAAGGCAAAGAAATATCTGAAAAGCAAAAGAAAATGTGATTGTGGCTGATGTCAAGGTTTGATGAGTTTTTTAATACAAATCCCTCAATGTTAACATCACTTATCCTACTTCCTTTCTGTGTTTCCATTCTTCCTTCTTTCCCCACCTTTCTGAATTTTGTCCTTAGGTAAATGCTGCCCTTTTGATCTTGAGTGGCTGACCCTTCTATGGTGTATATACCTCACTGTGTTGTTGTCCTCCCAACATACGTATCTATTGCTTAGCTGAAAATTGAGCCCTGGGGGTGAGTTTAGTCCCAGACCTGAAGGGTCACCAATAAGGGGAAGTGAGGGAAAAACAGCAATGAAGGTGCGAGCTAAGCCCTACAACGTTCAATAGACTCCTATGAACCCGGCTGGAGACCTGGTTGGCCAGCAGTGTGGCAAGACCTGGGGACTCTTGGTCCCAGAGTCAGTGACATAGCCACAGAGGACTAGAGTGGAGAGTGACATGTCCAGCTGGTAAGAAGCAAGGGCATATGCACAAGAACACCCACACTTGCAGATAAAATACCCACTTTACCTGGCTTCAATGAATGGATGATCAGAGCTCAACTAGACAAAGAAAGAAGAGGACAAAAAGAGTGATACAATTTGATGAACTTGACCTACACCTATGGATGCAGTAGATCAAAAGAGGGAACAAATCTTTACAGCAAGGATCACTCCCACACCCTCCACACACAGACAGGGATGGGGCACTTGAACATTGGCTACCCAAAATGGAGGGGCTACAAAGGCAAAAAGTGACTGGGTTACAAGCTTTCAAGAGGGAACCTAGATCCAGAGGGCATGAAGATAGAATCTCCATTGAGTAATATCCAATCTGTCTAGGTGGGACTAATGAACGGAGATGCAGATTGGCCTCTTGTGATACAATGGTAAATAACTGTTATCAGGACTGATTGTGAGGGTTGGAAATGTAAAGGTAGATGTTTTGTAGCAAGGAGAGGAGTGATTAACTTTGCATTCTAGGAGCGGAGGTCCCTGGGACCATCAAGGGAGAAGAACAGAGTGCAGGACCCTACCGAGAGAAGCAGTTACTCCAGAGATGGAGGCAGAGAAGATGACATGGAGAGATGGAGCAGCTGGGGACTTTAGATCCAAAGAGGGAGAGTGACTGTGTGCTGAAGACCTGGGGGGTACTGGGGAAGGATTGCATGGAGGGGATTGTTAACCATGGCAATGAGATGATGTACGATAGAATGAATGTAAAACTAATGTTCTCCCAGAGAGGGAGAGGGACTACTGGGAAGCAGGTGTGCAGGGTATATACCCTTTACTTGGTTGATGATGTATTATCTTTTTGATGTGTTGCTGGATTCTGTGGGCTAGGATTTTGTTGAGAATTTTTGCATCTATGTTCATGAGGGATATTGGTCTATAATTTTCTGTCTTAGTGACGTCCTTCCCTGGTTTTGGTATGAGGGTTATGCTTGCTTCATAAAATGTATTAGGAACTTTTCCATCCTCCTCTATCTTCTGGGATAATTTGAGTAGAATTGGTGACAGCTCTTCCCTGAATGTTTGATAGAACTCACCAGTGAAGCCATCTGGGCCTGGACTTTTTTTGGTTGGGAGTCTTTTCATTACCTGATCAAATTCTTTTGATATGGGTCTGTTCAGGTTTTCTGCTTCACTGTATGTACGTTTAGGTTGGTTGTGTTTTTTCTAAAAATGTATCCATCTCTTCTAAGTTTTCAAATTTGTTGGAGTACAACTTGTCACAGTATTCTGTTATTATCCTTTTGATTTCCTTTGGTTCCATTATGACATCACCCATGTGGTTTCTAATGTATGTTATTTGTGTCTTCTCTGTCTTTTCTTTTGTTAGGTTTGCCAATGGTCTGTCAATTTTGTTAATCCTTTCAAAGAAATAGCTTCTTGTCCTGTTGATTCTTTCTATAGTTTTTCTGTTTTCTATCTCATTTATTTCTGCTCTAATCCTTATTATTTCTTTTCTTTTGGTGGCTGTAGGTTCCCTCTGTTGGTCTGTTCCTAATTGTTGTAGATGCTGTGTTAATTTTGGTTCTTCTTTTTGGATGTGTGCATTTATTGCAATAAGTTGTCCTCTCAGCACCACTTTTGCCATGTCCCAAAGATTTTGGTATATTGTGTTTTCATTCTCATTTGTTTCTAGGAACTTTGTGAATTCACATTTAATTTCTTCTACTACCCAGTCGCTTTTCAGCAAAGTGGTATTCAGTTTCCATGTATCTGACTTGATTTCCTTGGTCTTCCTATTGTTGATTTCTAATTAGATAGCATTGTGGTCTGAGAAAATGTGGGAAAGTATGAAGAAAAGCAGACTTCAAGAATCTTGCCCACTACTATGAATATTGTGGATACTGTCTTCAAACCTTTGATTCTTTAAACTTGTAAATATTTGTGTATATCTGTATTCGATTTATAGCAAAAACATTTCCCCATGGAATTACAAATTTTAAAAGAAATATTTATTAGAAAATTTGAGATAGTTCACTATGTAGAAAAGAACAAACAATAATTTAAAAGAAAGCCACCCCATCCAGGTTTAGAACATTAGTAAATACTTTACCATATTTGCTGCAAATTGTTTTCATTTTTTTAAGTTTTTATTGTGAATTGGGTGAAGGTTTACAAAGTCAATCAGTTTCCCATTTAACACTTCATATCCATTTTGTCACTGATTCCAAGCTTTAGAATGAATCTTCACTTATCCCACTTCCTCCCTGTGTTTCCCATTTCCATCCATCCTTCTTTCCTAACCCTTCAGTACTTTAGGAAGAAGTTGCCCTTTTAAACTCAATGATTGATTATTCTAAGGAGTGTGTTAACACCCTAACAGTTCCTCTCACAGACTAGAGTTTGACTGAAAATTGAGCCATGTGCAAGTTCAGTTCCAGACCTGAAGGGTGACTAAGGGCCATAGTCTTAGGGTTCCTCTAGTCCCTGTCCTACTAGTAAGCCTGCTCTTTTGTATGATTTTGAATTTGTATCCGTATTTTTCTCCCATCTATCCAGGATCTTTTCATGTAATCTCTTTCTGAACAGGTGGTATTGGTAGCTGGGTACCATCTAACTCTTCTGATCTCAGGGTTAAGGCGACCAATGGTCACGTGGTCCAGTAGTCACTGGACAAATTGTTGCCATGCATCTTTGATTTTCATTATTCTTCTTTCCTCTGAATGGGGAGAGGCCAATAGTTACATCTTACATGTCTGCACGATTCTTTAAGATCCCAGTCGCTCCTCACTGGCACAGGATGGATACATTGTCTTTACAGACTATGTAATGGCAATGGACTTGCGTGTCTCCCAAGACTAAGATCCTGAGTCCCCAGTCATAGTGACTTCTTCCCTTCAAGGTGAGTGGTTATGTCTAAGTGGTTTTCATAGCTTTGCCAGATGGATGCTCTACCATATTCATGGACATTTATGCTACATAGTTATTTACACATGGAGAATATCGTCTGTCACACCTATTTAGACTCCTGGGTACAATCCCACTCTTCCTCCCATACCTGCTCAGCCATGGAAGCTTGGAATAAATTATCTGAGGTGTGAAAGAGTGCTTTTCTTTACCTACAGGCTACCTGGCCCAGCATCACATCAGGATTTGACAAAGCATAACCATTAGTAAAGGAAATTCCCATCTGTCCTTCTCATCATTCTGCCTCATGCTTAATCTTGGTTCTGTATTT